CTAAATTTTATTAATGATTTGTGCCTTTCTCAGGTAAGTAAGTAAACAAATCCAATGTGTTACCAACAATTCTTTAATAGATATCAGTAGGTATTGCCAGTATTAAAATTGTTGAAGTTTTGTTTTCTTTACATTTTAGAATCGATATTTAATAAATTCACACACGGGGTAAAATAACTGAGGTAAGATGACGAACTCGGCATCTTGCCCTAAGCAAGCATACGACTTCATCATCTTACCCCATGCACGCATTATAATAAGGCCAGTATTCTTTTACAGAATGCCGCGGGTGTACAAGCGCAAAACCAATCGTAGAGAGTGGAGTAAATACTCCCTTAGCAGCTATGACGGAAGTACGCGAAGGATTTTTAAGTTGTAATACAGCTGCAATAATTTACTATATTCCTAAGCCTACGATAGGAAGATACTTAAAAAGAGATGCAGTCGGGACTGATTGGTTTAAATCTTTTAGTGCACGTAACAAGTTGAGTCTTAGAAATCCTGAAGCGACTTCAATTGCACGGCTACGAGGATTTTTTAGGATCTCTGTCAAACATTTTTTTACAATTTTGGAAGAAATTAGGACCAAATACAAGTTTAAAGCAGACCGTATCTACAACACCAACTGTGCCAACGAAGCTACCAAAAATCATCACTCCAACAGGACAACAATGAGTTGCTAAAAAGTGACAGCTGAGAGAAGTCGAAATACAACTTTGGTGTGTGCAATGAATGCTGTCGGGTCATACGTACCTCCATTTTTGATATTTGGCCGAGTTAGAATGAAACCCGAGTTGTCAAATGGTTGTCCTCCCGGTTCTGATGGTAGGGCACAACCTTCAGGCTGGATGACGGCGGAAACTTTTCTTGCCTACTTAAAATACTTTGCGCACTACACAAAATCGTCTGTTGATGATCCCGTATTGTTACTGGTTGATAATCACAGTTCCCATATTTCCCTTCTTGGAATCAACTTCTGCCAAGAAAATGGAAGTGTGCTTGTAGGATTTCCTTCCCACACAACCCACCGATTACAACCATTAGACGTTTCGTTTTTGGGACCTTTTAAGGCATTTAATAATCAAAGATATGATTCGTTTCTAATAAGTCATCCAGGAACTCCAATAACCGACAAAAATATAGGACCTTTGTTCGGGGAGGCTTACTGCAGGGCAGCCAATGTAAATAATGCTGTAAACGGCTTTAGAGCTTGTGGCATTGAGCCTTTTAACCCTCTGGTTTTTGATGACAGTGATTTCGTACCTTCAAATACAACTGAACGTGATGAACAACCTAAAGTGAACGGTTCCCTTTTGATAAATGATGACGATGCCCGGTCGTCAATGAAAACGCGGATTCGTTGTCATCTGATGAAGAGGATCAAGTACCTCTGAGTGTGTTGGCGAAAAAATAAAATCTATTACTACACCTGAACAGACCACATCAAATGAGACATTTAAAACTTCCAACAAAGATCAAATACAGACACATAAACGTCAACTTTTTTCAGATAAAGATACTTCAAATGAGCCCCTTCCTACTATTTGGAAACTTAGGCCAATTGCAATATCTGGAAGGTCTTCAAACCCTGAAAAAAAAATTGTCATCTTCTGTTATAAGTGGAACTCCAATAAAGTTACAACTAGAAAAAAACAAAAAGAGATTGAAGAAAAAGAGAATAAAAAAAAATTAAAACAAGAAAAGAAACAACTAAAAGTACAGAAGAAATCTACAGTTCAGGAAAATAGAGGTTAAAAGGCCGAAAAAAATTGCCCAGTGCTGCTTATATTGCAGATGGCAGTTCTGCTGGTGTCAGTTCTGATCATCCCAGTGCTACTGATATTGCAGATCCCAGTAGTGAGATTCAATATTTTTGCCCTGCTAGTAACGAAAAAACATTTGAAAATTGGTTGCAATGTTCTCATTGTATGTCATGGTGGCACGAAGCATATAGCAGCTATGAGGGTTTTTGCAGCTTCTGTTGTGATTTTTGTGCATAGTTATCTTACCCCAATAGGTTCGTCAACTTACCTCGGGTATGGAGTAAGTTGACAAAAATTGCATTTTTACTTTTTTTGTTATTTGCAGAAAATTCATTTATATTTTATATCTTTTGGTAAGGTTAACGTTACACAAAGTCATGAACATGTTTGTACTGATATGTATTTAACTTTCAAATAAATTACTTTCCTTTGTATTTAAATTTTCTCTTATAATCGAATTAAATTACCGGTTTTGAGCTTACATTAAATTGTAATTAGATGAAACAAAATGGATTCTATGTATTTTGAGGTGATCTTTTCGAAAAAAGGCAAAACAAAATGTAGCAGTTTTTCGAAAGTGCCGAAATTTTGGATTTTGTCAATTTTTCAATTTTGCGCATGCGCATGTCACAAATAAATCAGTATTTTTAAAATGCAGTTTACGACATTTGAAAGCTTAGAAAAAATTCTAATTTTTATGTCTCCTGAGAAATTTGGATCCGATGCACCGTTCTCGCGGTATGGACGATTGAAATTTGTTTAGTATTTTGAGGCGGCGAAGGTCGAAAAATTGAATTTGTCAAATGTTCAAACACTAAATTCTTAATAACTTTGGTAAAAATTAAGATATTTGAAGAAACAAAAATTCGTTTTCAACTTAAGGGATGTGACTATTGATTTCCAGAAGGGGGCAAGAGAAATCTCAAAATTGGGCATATGGCGGAAGGGCAAAGTGTACCGCAAGCCTAATTTCATTGTTTGCCTATAACGGCCAAACTATTTAAATTTTTTTAATGCCACTTACAGAGCTTTCTCTTAAATATGAAATCTTATACGTGTGTGAATTTTACCAAAATCGGATTATAATTGGCCAAGATATTAAACAATTTAACAATTTTTTTTTTCTAAAAAAAAACTAAATTTTTTTTCGAAAGTTTGAAGTGGCACAAAAATGCCAAAAATGCACCCAATGATTTAAAACTTTTTTTTGAATACTCTGTTATGTCTAGAATACGATTACATTACGGAAAATTCTGCAAAAATATTTTATCTATTTTTTTGACCACTGTTCATTGAGTGACGACCAAAAAACACGGTTTTTGAGAAAAGTTGCCTAAAATTGACGATTTTTAGTTTTTTGGTCTGAAAATTGAGCAAACCCAAATCTCATGTCTTATGAATGTGTGTACAAAGTTTAAAGTGTGTATGTTTCTTCTAAGTTGTAGAATTCTCCCGACAAAAGTCCCATTACACGCGCTCCGCGGGATCCAAAACTCGTGCATTTCTGTAATTTGATTTTTTTGTGATTTCCAGTTTTAAATTTCTTACATACCTAAATTTATTAGGCCTAAAATTTATTAAATTGTATTTTACTGACTTGTTATAAGACGTTTCTTGAGTTTTGTGCAAAAAATAGAATTACCGCAAAATTAGCCGGACGTCGTATCAAGGATAGCCATGGTCTCGGCGTTCGCTATCCGACAAGTTTAAACTTGAAACGGTCATATTATTACAAATTGAATCGCTTGATAGTGTTCATCGGCATAGATTTTTAATAACCGTGTTCAGCAAGCTGTGTACACGTGGTTTTTCGGACTTATTCAGCAATTTATTGAGTAAGTACATTCTTAAATTAAGAAAATTCTATCACAGTGCTATAATTTTTTTGTTTCCAGGTTGCAATGGCTGGCCTGTGTTTATTATGTCATCAGAAACTTGCAGATGGTGAACTTACCCCAATTAGACCGACAGGATTAAAAAGTCTGCAGATGGTCAGCAAAGAGAGAGGGTATGATTTTTTCAGTTCTTTAGAACCAGGTTTTATATTGCATGAGAGGTGTCGCAAACATTACATAGCTCGACGTTACGGAAAAGAGTTTATTTATAAAACCTGGGATAGGCATAAAAGGGCCGCGATTGACAATCCCAAAAAAAGGAGGATAGAGCATCAACCGAGAAGAAAACCAGATGTTAGAGAACAAAAAACAAGCTTATCACCAAGTTGGAACTTACACTCAAGCTTAGGATTAATTTCCTAACATTTTTAAAGTATACCTTTTTGTATATTTTTTTGTGCTCTTTCCGATGGCGCAGTTAGTTTCTTCAAATATATTTTTTGTTAGATGTTTTCGGAAAACGCGGAGAAAATCATACGGGAAAAAAATAAAAAAAAATTTACGCCTTCCGGTTTCCTGCGAATTCCCGCAAAATTATGGCAGATTTCGCCGCGGGACTTATTTTATTTGAAAGCCCACAAAAAAATACGCAACTTCTATCATGGGCACATGCCCACAAAAAAATACGCAATTTCTATCATGGGCACATATATGTCTAACATTTATAATTTCGCCACAAATTCATCGCAAATTTCATGTTCATGATTCTGATCAAAGAAACGAAAAAACAACTTTTTGGTAGAAGCACTTCTGGCGGCGAGAAATTCGCTATTAAAACTACCTGTGCAATGAAATTCCGAACTATTTTTGCCTCCTCTTTCGATTGGTGCATTTATTTTTATTATCAGAACGATACTTGCCCGGATAATTAGTATTTTTACCATGGAAAATTCCGGAAAACCCGGTTTTTCCTAATTTAAAAAAAATTGAAAAACAGCTACATTTTTTCTTTTTTTCGGAAAGATCACATCAAAATACACAAGGTCCACTTTGTTTCATCCAATTACAAATTAATGTAAGCTCGAAGGGGCTTTTTCTCGTTATTTAATTGGACTATTAGTATCGTCTTCTTAGCCCGAGCTTCCCTAGTAACACATTTTAATTAAAAGATGTCACTCTGTATGAAAAGGAAGCGGTTGTTAGGAATTTTTAAAATGTTCAAACAAAACTCATGTAATACGAACTAGTAAAAAGGAATTTTATTAAAAATAAATAAACATAATCACAAATTATGAGATAAAATTGTAGACACTTACTTTAAAATTTAATTTGTATAGTTACACTAAAAAATATTTAATGCATCAAATAAGTCATATGCCATAAAATAACAATCGTAATTTCAGTCAGATATTATAAAAAATTACAAAAATCTCATATTCATATTTTTAAAATACAATATGACAATATAAGGTAGGCTTTAGATTTCAAAACAAAAATACAAATTTTGTTGCGTTTGCTTAAAAAGTATTGGGTCTAATCATTTTCTAGTTTGATCTTGTTTTAAAAAAAGGCATTCGTGTTACATATATATTCAGATTTAGGACAACTTTATGCAATTTAAATGCAAACACTTTGAATCTTTTTAATGGACGGTTCTATTCAATTGTATTTATATATCTAGTATATCAATTACATTAATCCCTAAACATTTTTAGTAAAAATCATTCTTTCTATTTTTTTTTTGTAAGCTCTTCGCTAGAAAAATCAATAAAGATCAAAAACTAGAAAACAATTACGAAAATATAGTTCTCTTGAGTATCTCTTAAATGGAATTTGCATTTTAGTTATGAAAAAAAGCCTACTTAATTTAGTCATCAAATATATGACATTAAATGCCAAAAAACACAGCATCCACAGGAATAAAATATAATAATACTAATTTACTAAGTCTTTTTACAAATATCAGTCTTAAAGAGTGCAATCAGTCTCTCCTAAATAAGTCATTGCCTTTAAATATTGCAAAATGGTAACTAATCTATTTATAAAAATCTATAAGTATCTTGACACCCGATAGCGTATCGTTCCTTTTCTCTCAAAAATATTTAGACAAATTTAGGAATCGTACTGAAATATCAGTATAGGTATATTTTCTTTTTGAGAGAATTGGGTTGATTTTTTAAGTGTCAATACCCTTTATAATTATGAATCAGTCTTTCGCGTAGTTTCAGGTAAAACATTATTTTAATTATCATACAAAAGATTTAACTATATATTTCATGGCGAATAGCTTGTGTAAAAATTAACAACCAAATAGCAATAACTAGCTGAAAATATCGAATAATGAATATTTTAATCTGCTAAAATTTGCTAATTATTTTTTTTAAAATACCCGTAGTAAATTTAGTGAAAAATATTTATAATATAATCATTTATTGAAGGATGTCCCAGAATATACACGCCTGAAATATGTCCTAAATATATTTAGGACATCCTGTATAACCGTTAGATATAGTATTACCTAATAATAATATTTCTGACCGAATTTTAACTGCATTAATTTTCCTAATTATTTTTTAAAACCACTTTTTGTCCCTGAGTTAGTTTTTTTAGGAAGAAGCGGAACATTTTTCCGATTTATAAAAAAGAAATACTTTTTTAGTCACTATGACCTCATATTCATTTGTATTTTGATTTTAGCAAAAAAATTCATTACATGTAATCACTCGTGTTTTTGAGAAGTCACGATTTCTCACAATACCCTTTAAACAAATTTTATTAAAATTATAATTTTAATACAAGGCAGTCTAACACGAATTACTATACACAGATTAATTATATTTGAACACATTTTAAAGGCTTATAATTGCTTTAGAGTAAAATATTTTAAATAATAATTTAACATGGAAAACTAATAAAATAAAATTAGTTCAATAACTATTCAAAGTGCAAACAAAAACTGTTACTACCTACTACTTTTTTTTTAAAGTGATAAAAGAAACTTTTTGAATATCTAAAAATAGTATTCCATTCGAATAACAAGATTGTTCTCAATATTAGATGCAAAATAAACTTGCAATAAAGGTGAAATATGTCAAAAAAAAAATAGATATAAAAAATGTAAATCCGATCATATATTAAAATTTTTTTAAATTATAAGCCTTTAACATGGGCTCCAATATACATGGTCACCCGATTCTATATACTATATTTTTAAAAAACAACCAAATATACATTAATATATTTTTAAATTTTCAAAATAATTTTAAAATCATTGTAAATTATACAGGTTTTTTATTTTCAATAAAATTCTGTTATTCGAAAATTGAGCATATCTCAATTAAAAAAACCAAATTTATGGCACAATTATGGAATATTTTTACAAAATACATACGTGGTAAACTGTCTGGTATATTAATAATATATTGAGATTTTATTTCTAGCCAATTTTATTTTGGCTTATAAATATCAAACTCTTCATTATATCTCAGAATAATATGTTTTTTAATGGAAGATAATGCCTACATGTCGTATAATCAGGTAGGTAGTTTATTAAAAACAAAGGAGACAGAACAAACAATTTTTATAATTTTGATAATCTGCAAATGTACTCAACAAAATAACTTTTAAAAAAAATGTGTATACGTTTTTACGGTCCAATTCTCGTAATTCGAACTCAATAACTTTTAAAGTATCTTCTTCCACTTTTATCCCTTATCTTTTCTGGAGATCAAATTAGGATTTTACTCTATGTGTTTACTTTGTTAATCTACATCGCTGCAGGTTATCAAAATTGCATTAATTATTCCTTCTAAAATGCCAAATTTCTTAATCCCTTCTGAGATATATCGTATTTTTTAAATAAAAACATTAATACGTAAATGAATAAAAACAGGAAATAAATGCATTAGCAGTTATCTATATCTTATTACTAAGAAACTACACAAAACAATAATGGCCAAGCCAGCAAAAAAAATAATAATTGAACTAAAAAACTTGTACCCGATTATTTCCGAAATCTACCACAACAATTCGACCTTCGGGATTCAAACATATACCGCTGGGTCTATCCAACTCACCAGGACCTTTACCAGGCTGGCCGACCTTCCATAAGAAATTGCCATTGCTTTCAAATACCTGGATGCGATTGTTTCTCGAATCTGCCACTACTATGTTACCGTCATCATCGCAAACAACCCCTTGGGGTCTTAAAAATTGCTTAAAATTGGATCCTTCCTGTCCCAAAAACTGTGCTTGTAAGAAATGCTGATCTACTACTACCAATCTATGATTGTTAAAGTCTGTGACAATTATATTTCCTTTTGGAGTAAAACAGACACCTCTAGGAGAATCGAAATGTTTCCACATGGTGGAGGAACCTTCGAAACCGTACTTATTCAAAAACTTACCATCGCTTGTAAATAACTGAATTCTATGGTTTCTTGTATCAGATACTATGATCTGGCCAATGGAGTTACAAGCTACATCCCAAGGGTAATTAAAGTGTCCATTACGGGTACCTTTTTCGCCGAACGTTAGAATAAAGGTACCGTCCATTTTAAATATTTGTATACGATGGTTGTCCTTATCAGCTACTATTATGTGACCTTGTTGATTTACAGTAACACCTGCAGGTCTATCGAACTGTCCAGGCCCAGTACCTTGACTTCCAAATTTATACAAGAAATTACCGTTACTATTAAATATTTGTATCCGATTATTACTGCGATCAGCAACTACAATATTGCCCATCTGGTCACAGCACACACCCCACGGTCTGCACAACTGGCCATCGTTCTCACCTTCATTGCCAAACGAGAGCGATGGTAAAGGACCTGTATCTTTAGCAACTATATGTTTGACCCCATAGATTGGTCGATTTCTTAGTGGCTCATCTTTAATATCGCGCGGTAATTTAACGAATAGCTGAGGATCCTTAATAACTGGAGCTCGTACCACTCTGGAAGACATAAGAGAAGAACTTACAGTTAGATTGCCAATGGAACATATTGCACGCAAGAAGCCATTATCTGGCGGTAGGAACATTATACCGTCATCTTCACAGGGCACGAGCTCTGGCCGAAGAGCTCTGATCTGCTTTAATTCATTGGTAGCTTTTTCATTGACGGCTATCAAATCAAATGTGTTTGTCGTATCAATGGTTTCATTGAGTAGATCAGATGTACAAGCTAGTTTTGCTAAGGCCACTCGAAGATTTTCTAGCTGGGACATCAGTAGTTTTCCTTTTATTTGGCGCGTTTGATCTATGCGCTTCAGGAGCTCCACTTCGCGTTCTTCTAGTGCTGAGATGTACCTACAAACGCAAAAAAATAGGATATTTTCAGGCTAGAGAATTAGCTAAATTTCCTTACCTCCTCATAACAGTTCGTACTTCTGTCGCAGCCTGGATGGACCTGAGTTCAACACTTTCGGACATACGTTGGACGTTGTCTATGGCCTCCCTGATTGCAATGATAGCGGTACGAGTTTCGCCGCTCAATTTTTGATTAGTACTTTTCGCCGACTCGATTGCATCCTCAATGTATGTTAAATGATGTCCACAGTGATCTTCCATAAGACATTCTGTACACGTGGGAATGGTGCATGTTTGACAAAATAATCTGTGAGGCTCCCGATGACTATCACACAAATTGTGTATTGTATTGTTACAGGGACTCGTACTAATCTAGAATGTAAAATTAGAATTATATTATAAATGTTCATGATATGTTCTTGTTTTAGGAGACTTCCTAGTTCATTATAAATACTTCAAAATTTCGTAAAAATTTAGGGATTATTTGAACCAGGTTTTTTCCAGTCAGGTCTTCCTCGTCGTTATTAAAGATATTTGGCAGATGCACATCACAATCATATGATGTGTCCCGCTGTTTTCCCCGTAGATCCGCATAGTCGGTAGTTGTTTGTTAGATTCCTATAGTCTATTGACTTTTGTGTAATTAAGCGTAAAAAAATGTTGGCAGAATAGTTTCAAAAGATTGTCTGTTAAGTTCCGAGAAGGTTATTTAAAAGATTAACCACATACTAGTTTGGGGTCTGCCGATCCGTATTCACAAAGAATTTTTATTGTCTTCTTTCCTCTTACGACCATAGAAATAGTGAATAAATAAAAATAAAAACAAATTATTATGAAAAATTACCTGAGAAGAAGATCCCAAAGATCCGCCACTGTTGGTGTGAGGAGGTGTGATTGCCGCGTTAGCAAATCTGGATATTCGATGGTCTTTGGTAAGGCGTACCCTTTGGTGGGCTCGAACGCAGGTATCACATAACAATTCACTACAATCCATGCATTTTGAAAATGCAGAAGAGCCCTCTTCGCAATTCCCGCACATCGAACCATCTTCAATAGTCACAGCCTGAAAATAAAATGAAATGTTTTATTGATCCATAGTTGAAATAATTGCAGTCTTTTTTAAATACCTACTCAAGTAACAAAGTTATCAATAAATTTAATGTCCTAAATACAAAAGCCATTGTTGAAAATTTAAACAATCTAAAAAAAAAGAGAACCAAAAACTTATCAATTCAAATGCAGATGGATCTGGTATTCTAAGGCTAACATCAAGTTTAACATAGGTAAAAATAAATACAAATGTTATAAAATTTACCAATATTGTTAATGTTAAAACGCTAGAAAGATTGATGGATAGGTATATCAAGAACGAGGTATTAGAATTAAATTCGCTCCAACAGTGAAGAGAATGGAATGGATTCATATCAAAATGTACATGCAGAATTTATACTCTTAAAGAAGAGGAAATATTAACGTATTGACTAGGCAAAAACAAAAAGGGGTAGGAGTAAGGAACAAATATATTACAAAATAACAGAAGAGATGCCAATTATAAACAAGATTGAGATGAAACCAATGTGCTGGCATGATCTTTATAAAAATAAAGCCCGATATAATAAAACCAATAATGACTATAACAAAATCATGAAAAAAGAAAGAAAAAGACAAAGGTTGGACCAAATGGAAGAAGAAAAATGATAGATGATATGAAGAAATTGGCAGGACGAGCTTGGAAGAAATGTATATTATAGAAGCATAATATGTAATTTCAATCAATGGCTGAAGGAAATAAAGAAAAATCTAAATTAAAAAACAACAACACCGTTCTATAAACTTAAAACAATGGAATATTTCATAAAAGCAATAATGGGGAGACAGAAAGTAAATGAAAATTAATAAATTGGAAAATTTTAAAACTAATATAGAACTAACACACACAATGAACAGGAAGAACATATTAGATAATTTATTCTCAAAAAATTAAGTAATATTTCATTTAACTAATTTTAACACTTTAAGAGGGATTCCATAATTACCGTATTATGTGACAGTAACTTTATTATTTGTACCAAATATTTTTGGGTATAAAATACGCCATAAATAAAAAAAACTTGAATACTTACCGAAATGATGTCCGTTATGAAGTTGTCGATGGGAGAATCTGAGGTAACACTAGTACCAATATTAAGAGGTTGACTTGAGGACGTTGGGGTAGAAAAACTTGATGTTGTAAGGCAAGACATTTTTGCTCTGCAATTTATTTTTGGATGGAACTATGGCAGTTATGGTTCTTATGAAGTGAATAACTGAAAACAGAAAAGGTCACTTCGTATTACGATTGCTAGTGATTTTTCGTTGTCGAAATAGACTTTTATGAATACATGAATTTAGTTATCAACCCAATGTGAGTATAATCAAACTTAAATTTTTAAATCCAAACCGTCACTACTGACGTTATCCCGTAACGCATCAAATTTGACAATTATGTTACAGCTATAATGACAAGTAAAGGTGAAGTCTCTGAAATACCCCAAGTCCATTCGTTTTCTTTATTGTTTAAATGTAAAATGGATGAAACAAAAAGTTACTAAATTTTAACATTGGTGCGTTTGATTTGATCATTGGAGATCTTCGAGCATTGCATACGTTTTTGAATTGACACTCCAAGAGATCCCAAAAGTGTTTTTTTGGGTTTACGTTGCCATCGGAATGTTACCCCAAAAGAGTTTGTTTCGCCTTGGAGCGAGAACACAGAGCGAGCTCGACGTTCTCAGAACAGAAGGACCGAGAAGATGGAGAAATGTGTCTTTGTCTCTACCTATCTTTTTTAATTAACCTACAAACAAACTTGAATCTCAATATTCGAGACCAGTCAAGTGTGCAGCCAACAAATTATTTATCTGCATTTGTCTAATAGCTAAAATTATTCATCATAACTTGGTAATAACTTGGTAATAACTTGGTAATAACTTGGTAATAACTTGGTAATAACTTGGTAATAACTTGGTAATAACTTGGTAATAACTTGGTAATAACTTGGTAATAACTTGGTAATAACTTGGTATAAACTTGGTATAAACTTGGTGTAAACTTGGTATCTACTTGGTATCAACTTGGTGTCAATTTGGTAATAACTACTAATTTCGTTTTAACTTTTGATGTAAATGTTTCGAGATTGCGCTCTTATAATATCGTTTTTTAAAACGGCTCTTTGTGGAAGTCATCATCAAGCGCTCTAAACTTCTAATTTACAGGATGAAACTTAACGATAAATATAATATAATTTAATTTAGCTAAGGGCAAATATTATATACCAAAAAAGTACTTGGGGTATTTTCGAGACTTTATATGGAGATGGAGGCAAAAATACACCCACAGATATTCGATGACAATAATTATTGTTAAAATAAACGATGATACTGGATAATCCTCGTAGCCAACCGTGATCGTAGCAAATGGTTCGTAGATACTACAGTGGCCTCATCTCCGGACGGAGTGACGTCACCGAATGAAAAAGCGAGTTTGTAAAAATTTTTACAATAATTTTAAATAATGGACAAAAAATATTCGTACATTAATTTATTTTTGGACTTATTATAATATCGGTAGTTTTATTTCGCTCATGAGTAACACGAAATTGAAGAATAACGGGAAAGGTAGATAGATATCGTGCATAATATTACAATTGCAATGGTTGGATAAGAAATCCAGCCATATGTATTTTTTTTTGCTGATACTATTCACCTCACTGATCTGTATTAGGCATTCCAAACTGAATAACTACTAGTGGGTTTTGACCACTGATCTGTATTATTTTATACAGATCAGTGGTTTTGACAGGTTATAATATGGCAAAATTATGGCAACCCTGTAGGCCTAGTGGTTTGACAAGGTCAATGAAATAGACAGTTACATAGATTGATCATCCAAGCTTATGCCTTGAAGTAAAAATGTAACCAATTATTATTTTTTAAATATCTAAAGGCTGAAAATTGGTTTTAAAACACATTTTTGCTAAACCGATTCAAATTAATAAATATTTGCCAGGCAATATGGCCGCTCGCAAACGACCAGCTTTGAGCAATCTATATAACTATATATGTATCATTGCCCCTGTTAATGACAACATGACAACAGAGTTGCCCTATCTAAACTGTGAGTCCCCACTGGTAGCCATTTTGGACAGGTCGTTGGAACGTCTAATTATTTTACTGGATAGGATATAGCCCCCTAAAAAACGTTCCGAAAAATTGGCCAATTTGGGCAAATAATATGGCGGACCGGATGTTATTTAACATAACCTCTATTTACATTTGTCATTACATTTGTCATTTAATTGTGTCAACAAGTTACGATGAGATATTGTGTTTTTATTGTGGAAAACAAAGTGAAAAGAGTATCCGTACTCTTCATAGGTAAATAAAACTATTATGTTTATATTAATTTGTTAATAAATCTAAATAAGTATTTTGTCGAAACAAACTGAAACAATTACTAATTTACGCAAGCATACAAGAATACAAATTAAATGATAAAAACTGAAGTGAATTATAACGATTATTACTAAATTAAATAATGTTCTTGTTATTTAAGGTTTCTATAGAATTGGAGCTTTTGAGGAAATGGCCGAAGAGCATGGATATGACTAGAAATATAAATGTTTATTTTTTCACCTTTTCCCATTATTTCCTTATTTCATTTAAAAAAATAAAATAAATCAATATTTGCATAATTGTAAAATTGTAAATTATGTAAAGCCTTTAAATTTGTTCTTTATTTAATTGTAAATTACAATCGAATAGTCTACACAAAATTTAAGTTATAACAGTATTTTCCTAGAACAATTTTTGAATACATATATTTATGAGTTGCACAAATTTCAATGTGGTTTGTATAGTGTAAAAATAGAGACAAAAAGACCATGTATTAACCTGGAAGAGTTAGAAATGTTAACTAAAATTTCTAACAGTGGTAATAATCGGTAAATTTAATCAACTTTCCTAGACAGGTGTAGGTAATTTAAAATATATTTCAACATCTAAAATTAACTTTGCAATTATACACTACCTACCTACATTATTCTTAAAAATTCTTAATATAAATCATGTTCCTGAAAACACCACTAGATCAGTTCCAATTCTAATCGGTTTAGTTGCATGAATCCATATTGTTCTCTCTGTTAAACATTTTCACAGGTATTGTTTAGATTTTCTACATCTTATTAATATCCCTGTTCTTCCTGGTTCCATTATAACAATGGCAAACACCGATTCTCGTTTCATACTTGTTCCCTAAAGTGATTTGATCATCTATGTAGTTCTAGCTCGAGGCTGTTATTTCTATTACCAATATCTCCTTTTAGTTGTAGTCCTTATAAGTTATAAAAAATCCCTAGAGCAGTTTTAAGAATTTTTCATTCCACTATAGGTACTTTAGAACTAATCCTTTATCTGCTATTTATGTAGGTAGTATCGGATAGAATTACTATGAAATAAACAATAAATGTTCATTCCTGAAGACACAATATGCTTCATGTTTCCATTTTTATATTTTCTTTCATAAAAAATCAAATTATGGGTGAATTTTCCGGAAGGACATCGCCCGCAAAAGGACTAGAAGAAAAATAAGAAGAAAAACTAATCAAATTATAGGTTAGGTATGTCAAATTATCCCAAATTTCAGTTATGTGATCCCACCATAATTTGACTAAATCGGCCAGCAGTGTTGCACTTTCGGTCTCCTTGGTGGAACGGTTATTTAGTATGTTAAATATACGCTATATCCTATCCATAAAAAGAATACAGATCAGTGATTCACTTAGTCCAATAATATTTATTATTTTATTCTAGGGCCCTTTGGGTTTTATAAAAAATATGAAATGAGATAAATATCTAATAATATATAGTATATTTATTAAAAAATAAATAAATAAGTAAAACGGCTTTCTAATAATACGATAAACCGTGTTTTTAAAATTTCTCAAGAACTCAATTTTTCTATACCTTTAATTTTAACAGAAATGCTTAGTGATCCTAGACCCGTCCCTATATTTAAGTTCTTAAAGTATACCTACCTGCTATTATAAAATGAATACATTGTCAAAGATGTTATTTAATCACCTGTAAAAGTATTGAGGTACAAAAGTAGAGATAAAAATCTGGTAAATACTGGACTTTTATGATAAAGGATTTTCAATTATTGGAAATGAGTAAATTTGCCTTAAAGGTACCATCGGAGCGAAGTTTTTACAAAAATTGCTGAATAGGATCCGAAAATCGAAAAATATTAAAATGTATTATTTTCCATTTAACAATGAACATAATCCAAAAATCTTAAACATAAAGAAACAGCAATTTTTGCATCAAAGGTGGATAATCCTCTCGAGTTGTACAGTATATTTTTACTACGACCCACTAACGAAAATCTACAAAATTTTAAACATAATTTAGAGGTTATTAAGATAAAATAGCTTCTGATATTTTTAAGATATTTAACAAAAAATGTTTAATTCAACTAATAATTTATTCGGACGGTAGCGTAGGTGTCTACGGCACTGTCATTTCATTTGCGAGCAATTATGTGGTAGAGAGACACCGGGCTTCGAATCCTACAGAAGTCCATATGAATTTATTTGCATGGTTCTCTATTAAATATGAACTCCGATTGGTGGATTTCATATTTGTACCTACTGTATGGATATGAAATTCATTCTTCTAGAATGGACATAAAATTATATCGCTTCAGTAGAGGGATATGGCCTACTTGATTATATTTCGTATCCATTCTAGTAAGAACATTGCACGGATATAAAATCTACCAATTACTGTTCATGTTTGGTAAGTAACAAGGCTAATATTAATTTTTTTTTAAATTTTAAATAAGTGACAATTCCGTCAAACTAATATATTTTAGTTATTGAAATTATTTTATATTAAAAAAATCGATAAATAAGAGTATTTCACAAGATATTCATTTATGTTTACCAACAAATCATAAATTTTATTAAAATATCTAAATTAAACTTAATTATGAGTATTAAAACTGAAAAATTAGGTGTATCTATAGAGCCGAGGGATCCTTACTTAGTTGCCATGCTAAAGATTCGGAGTTCAAATTGTGGATTGAATAATAAACAAAAAATTCTTCTTTTTCATTATATAAATCAATAATGAAATAAGTTATTTTGTCTTAAGATCCTTAATTAATTTTTAAAATTTGTTGTAGATTTTCGTTAGTGGGTCGTAGAAAAAAATATACTATACAACTATAGTCTATTTTTATGTATGAGAGAGTAATAAAACAGCATTTCTAATGCAAAACTTAGTACGGTCATTTTAAATATTTTTACAGAATAATCTAAATATTTCCTAAAATTGTAATAAATGTACCTGAGCTATTACAAGTTTTGGGTCTTTTATTGGTCCTTTATAAACATAAGCTGTACAGAACAATAGAAAAAGGTTTGGACAGGCCAAAAGCCCTGTGTATTAAAGATTAC